ACAATAAATAAATCATATTCGACTGTACAATTTATAATAAACCGATATAATGAAACTGGTTCTATCAAAAATCGAAAACGTAGTGGTCATCCCCAAAAATTAAAATCTTATCACAGGAATGCTATACTAAGAACAGTTGAGACGGAACCAAAAACAAGTGCACCAAAACTTGCTGGTATGATTGATAATGACTATAATGTAAAAGTTGTGCCTCAGACAATTAGTAATGTCATTAGAAACGCAGGATATAAAGGTTGTGTAGCTAGGAAAAAACCTTTTATCAGTAAATTAAATAAAAAAAAAACGTTTAGATTTTGCGAAGGCACACTAAACAAGGGAAATTATTTTTGGAAATCTGTATTATTTAGCGATGAAAGCAAGTTTAATATTTTTGGTTCAGATGGGCGAGTTATGGTGTGGAAAAAACCGAACAAGTAAATGGATTGCAAAAATTTGTGCCCGACGGTAAAACAGGGGTGGTAATGTATTAGTTTGGGGCTGTATGAGCACTGCGGGTGTTGGTAATTTGGTATTTATCGATAGTATAATGGATCAACATGTTTATTTAAACATTTTGAGAAATAATTTGCATGCAAGTGTTGAAAAACTAAAAATTGGCAATTCGTTAATTTTTCAACAAGATAACGACCCCAAAACATACCGCGAAAAAAGTTAAAGAATGGTTGTTATACCGTGTATCAAAGCAACTTAACACATCTCCGCAATCACCAGACATGAATCCTATAGAACATTTATGGGATGAAATAGATAGACGTCTAAAAAATTATCAAATTCGAAACAAAGAACAATTGAAAACGGCAATTCTTGAAGTATGGAACAGTATTGACTCAACTATTACATTAAAATTAATAGAATCCATAGAAAAACGTATGAATGAAGTTCTTAGGGCTAAAGGAGGGACAGCTGATCATTAATGATAATTATTATTATAATTAATTAATGTTAATTTGTACGGAGACTTTTGCTATTATTTTTGTAAAATTGTTTATATATATATGTATAAAGTAAACTAATTAATATATATGCTTCAATTTTTTTTTATCAAATATTTATATGTTTATGAATAAATGTGTGTTACAAATATGGCGTTATTCAACTTTTGAGTCGCTATTTTATGTTGTTGAAAAAATTTGACATCGGTGTACGGAGACTTTTTTGACCACTATATGTATTATACTTGATACAGCCTGTAATCAGAATATAAATAAAGAAATAGGCGTTCTTATAGCTTTTTTATTTTTTAATTATTTAATATTTCCTTCTAAAAATTAAATACTACAGATTTGCATCGAAGCGTTTTTTATGATAATGGTTTTAATCACTGTCGGATTTCTTCATCTATACTTGTCTCAATTATACCACGTCCCCACTGGGCTGTGTTTTTATTATTTATTTTAATAATAAAAAAATTTAAATAATTTTTTTAAAGTAAGCATTTTGTAGCTTTTTTATTTTAAACAATTTTGATGGGTCGATATCAACTTTATGTAGCACGATCGAGGAAAGCATTATAAATATACCAGTACGAGATGTACCCAACCGTGTTTCACACCTACTCTATGCATTAAAATGCTTGTAACTTAATAAGTACTTATCCAAAATTTGTTATGAGACCTTATAAATAAAATTACAATTGAAGTGTGCACCTACGTGCGTCGTTTGAATAATTTGTCAGTAAAGGCAACAGTAAATCTATATCAAGTTTGAAACTGAAATAGAAGGTTTATCTTACCCCTGTATCAAAAATTTAGTTTATTTGGGGGGCTATGATTGTAATTATGAAGACTAAAGACAAACAGTCCCCATGCAAGATATCCAATATCCGCCATTGTCTACTAGTTTAATGTATTTTATAAACTCTAAAGTGTAAATATAAGTTTTGAATAACGGAAATATCTTCTGTAAATTATATCAAAATGTTTTTAAATAAAACTAAGATTTAGATTCACTTTAATTTGAGCCTAATATCAACAATTTTTAATGAAGTTTAGAAAGATTAATGTTTAAAAATATTTTTTATTTTAAATTTATTTTTATTTAATATTCTATATTACTCATTTGTTGAATGTCAACAAGATAATTCAGTGTATTTTAAATTCTTGCCAAATAAATATCTTGATTTGATGTTTATCATTTAGAAGAAAAATAAAATGCTTTTAAAAATACGATCTCTGCTAAGAATGAAATATGTTAGTTATAGTGATAAATTTAATATTAATTTTCATCGTTGTTATAAAATACTTCAATGCATTTTTCAAATTATATTTAATTTAAAAAATTATATCGTTTTTTGTTGACTGCTATTTGTTTGTGTATCTTTCTAAATTGTTTCGTTCTTAATTAAACTGAGTATTTTTTTGCAAATTTTCGTGCTGTTATTAAGTAAAACTATTTTAGTTGAAATAAAAATTTTTTATAGTGAGAAACACAATTGTGCAAACTCAAAAAAAAAAAATAAAATTAATACCTTTTTTGTGAGCATCAAAGCTAAAATATTTTCTATTGCAGTTTATGCTTATATTTTTTAGTATACCAGTTGATTTTTTTAATACCAGAGATCTCTATTTATCATAAAATTATAATTATGTTAAGAAAATTATTTTTATTTTTTAATTTCATATATTTTTTGATTTATCAGTTCATAATTACTTTTTTAATTCATCTCTAATACCTTGTAAGGTTGCTAACCTTTTTTTATCTTTAATGGCAACAAACATATAGAACTAACTTATAAAATAAAAAATAATTTAATTAAGAAAATAACTGGTTTATACAACTTTTAGATCAGTACTTCGAAATTTATTAACATTTTTGTACCTTGGAGGAGGAGTGTGACCGATTAATAATAAAAATAGCAGCACTTTTGATTTACCTGCAGTCAATGCTTTTCAATTGTTGATAATTTCTGAAATACTGGTCTTAAAGTTATTATTAACCATTTTTCATTTTTTTAGTTATATTATTATTTATTTTATAAACTAGTTAAATATAAATATTATCATTTAAAAAAATTAAGTTGAGATAAATAAAGAATAGCCACAGAAATATATTAATAAGTTTATTTTACATTAAAAATAAGACGTATTGTTTTAGACGTATTAAAAACATTATGTCTAACACAAAGTTTTATTTAAAATGTCTGTTTTTATGTTTATATTTAAAACGAATTGTGTTATACATAACAACTAAACAATTATAACTTATAATTGTATTATCTAAACCAATGACGTACTCAAGATTTTTTGAAAGAGGATGTCGCACAATAAATGATTTTAACATTTATTTTTACGTCATCTGATAAAACACTTACTTCTAATTTTAATAAATTATAATAGATAATGATGATAAAAATAGTATTCTAGTTTATGACAATAGATGTTTGTACGCTAAGAGCATTTTTAAGTAAACATTTCCAAAATATTCTTACGCCTTTAATTCAAAAAGATAAGACTTGTGTTAGTTTGACTTAGATATATATTTTTAAATTTATAAAGTTAATTTTTCTTTTACATATTATAATAATTAAAAAATTATTTAAAAAAAAAATAAAGAGGTTTTAAAAAAATTGTGTATAATACCTGTTAAGGGTGTACAACTTCCTTAAATATGCTATTGATCTAAGTTACTTTTTGGATAAAAAAAATCAAATTCAATTTCATGATTATACAAAGAGTATTAATAATAAGTAACTAATAAATATAATATAACTAAATATTTGTTTGTGTTACTGTAACATTATTTGTTCACAAACCAAGTTATTTTAGACACAATTTTAATTCACCAACTTATTGTTAGTGTTGTCATTGAAAATATTGAAGTTCTATTAAAATCGACGTTGTGGTCTAAAATAGAATGTTTTAAGTGTTGCTATATTAATGGCTTTTCGCCAGTATGTATGCACGACCGTACAATATGTGTTTCCGGAGAAAAGTAGGCAGTTATTAAGAGTATGACCTTAGTAAATAATATCATAGATTTCAATTTCCGGATTGTCTACCGTCTCTAAGTATATCTTATTAACTTAATATTACTGTAAAGTTTTAACTGGTTTTATAGATTCAAAATAAAAATACACTTACAATATTTTGTGAAATAAAAATAGTATTTGGTAAAACTGAACAATCAAAATTTAATAAATATTAAAATTTAGCCTAAACAATATATATATATATATATATAT